GCCCCCAGCATTCGCAGGTCACAGCGCCAAAGGCCGCTCCAAAGAAAGCCACCGGCAAAGCAAAAGCCGGAAAAGGAGGAGGAAAAGCAGGACCACCAGCTCAATCACAGATTGACGTTTTGTTTCCTTCTCAGGCAGTGACTGTGACTCCACAGCCTGCTCCAGGTCCACAAGAGCCGCCAGCGAAGAGAATGAGGATGTCAACCATTGAGAATATGGAGCCGAGTCTGACAAGCAATATGGCCGCACATATGGCAGAGGCGGATCAAACATGGGCCACGACCACTCTTCAGTCCATCAAGGAGCTATCGCCTTTGAATCCTCGTGAGGCAGACACTGAGTTCAAAGCAGATGTGGCAGAAGCATTGAAGAAATGTGGCACACTTCTCACGCAGATCAAAGCCCGAAAGCGTCTGTTGAAAAGGCGCACTCCTGAGAATAGAGAGGCAGCCATGGCCCAAGCAGATGAGATGGAGCAGCATGTCTCATACATTCAGGAGTTCCTCAAGGGCTTGAATAACATCGCGAAAGGCAATGCAGGAAGTGGAGATGATTGCTGTGGCAGGATTGAGACAATGATGGCTGGAGGGTTTGTCCTTGGCGTGGAGGTGTACAAGCGTATTGCCAAACAAATGCTGCTTGACGATGTGAAGTTGCAACGGTATGATAGCATGAGCAAGGTGTCTTGGCCCTTCATCAGGAACAACATTGACGAAGCAAATGTCTTCCTTGGCCAACAAGCAGCAGTCCTACTGCAGAAGGTGCTTAAAGGAATTGCGCTAGACAAGGCTCGGTCAAATAGGGTTCATGTGGCAAGCTGTTACTTTCCTCTCCGAGAACTATATAAATATATACTATATATTATATAACTATAATCACTAACTATTTATATATCGCTATTTTGTTTACCAGCGGTATATATAGGACCTGATGTGATATAGTAATAGTATTATATAATATAATATAAGAGTTACTTAATAATTGTATATATCCTGGTCCACACTCCAAGCACTGAAGGTCAGCATTGAAGCCGGGTGTGAGAGCATGGAGCCACTTCGAAACCTCGTAACTCACATGGCCAATGCGCTTCCTTTACAGCAGGCCAGAGAAGACTTCAATGTGATCAGTCAACTTCTTGGCTGCATGTCACTTCAGCCTACCATTGCCCGCGAGTGTGCAACGACTATCAAATCCCAGTCTGGTCCTGACCGGAGTGTGTTGGCGTCCTTCAAGAACCTCGCACAAGGAAAGAAGCTTTTGGCACTTGCTGAGGAGCACGTTGTTTCCTGCTCTGACTCGGTCGAGCTCCACCAGAAGCTTGAGGAAGTTAAGTCCAAGGCAGAGACATTCCTGGCTACTGTTGGTTCCATCCAGCTTGCGGAGGGTGTGACACAATGCTTGGATTTGCTTTCGTCTATTCGATCCTTTGCCAGCAAAGTTGAATCTTCCAAGAATGACGGCTCGCAAGCCTCTCTGAAGGCAGCCACTGATGCAGTGCGGAATCTTGTCTCGGGTCTTGCACTTCACCATGTCAAAGTTGAGGCCAACCCATGGTTGTCATCACAAGCTCAGACATTGAATCTGTCTCAGATCTTATCCAAACCTCCAGCGTTTGAGGTATTGAAGTTGTCTTCAGAGAGCAAGAGAGCACTTGGCGGAGAGATCAAAGTGTTGGTTGATCTCGAGGCCTTCTACACCGGCACTGCAGAGGTTGCATCTGAAGTGGATGCCTTGCTTAGAATGCCCAGCAGTACAAGCTTTGAGGCAAGAAAGGCATGTATCGTGCGGTTATGCAAGACTTTTCAGTCATGGTGTTCCAAGAAGAGTACTGTGCTCGTTTCCTTTCCGGACATGTTCGAGACCTGTGCAAAGTTGAGCCTTGAGTTGGATGGCTATGTTGACTTGCAAAGCACCACAGCATGGAGGCAGTCTTTGGCAGGACCATTGCAATGTTTCTCAAAAATCGTCTGCAAGAATATGGGCCAACAAGCTTTCCAAGAGCTCCGCAAAGAAGGGGAGCTGCAATCAGCGTTGGGATCCATGGATGATGCTCTTCTCCTTTTGACAGGAATCCAGGATCAGGGATCCAAAAAGAATGCTGAAATGGCCACTTCCTTTGTGCAAAAGTGTTTGAGGTGTGCGGACAACATGTGCAATTCGGAATGCTCCAATGCGGCGGCAGCATCGTCCATGCTACAGGTTCTCCATGTGATTGAGGTTGTGAACCAGAAGCTTACTCCTGGTGCGAAGGTTACACCTTGTATTGACTCCTCGGCCATGAAGAGTCTTATCTGATGATACATTCCCGGCATGTCCTGGGCCATATTGTTTATATCAACCAGCCAAACAATCAATCTCTACATGTTTAAATTTAAACTTCAAACGTGCAACTACTTTTAACATTTAGATTAGTTTATGACACTGTTTATGACTAGACTAGACTGGACTAGACTAAAGATGAAAGGCCCCTCAAAACAAACATCAGATCTACCCGAGGACTTTGGCGTTATCCTTGTGTGAGACACTTTGGAAAGACTCGAATGGTCCAGAGCCTTCGCAAGTCTGTGACTTCATTGAAACTAGGCTTCATTTGGCTCCGGAACCACAGTAGTCCGCTCCAGTCAATAAGAACCTGACTATGACTTTGACTTCCTTCATGTTGTTGTTTTCTGTACCCAGTGGTATGAAAATACAATTCCTTTGTGAGTTCTTGATTTGTGATCGCGATATGCTGCTAAACAAGGAAGGTTTGTTTTCCGGTGTCAACAAGACATGCGACAACCTGGTGAATGCAGCCCGCGAAGACACACGGAAGGCCTTGGCTGCGCTACAGTCATTCATCATTCCCACCTACACGGAGCACCAGTTCCAAAGCTTCTTGAATGCCATGCTTCAGGATGGTAAACATCGTCTTTTGGCAGGTCATATCACCGCTCTCGAGAAATGCTTGAAGACAGTGAAAGCTGATAGCGCCGATCTGGATGTCAAACCTTCTGACATCCTTCCGGAATTCGAGGAAGCCCAACGTGAAGTGAAGCGGTTCTTGACCGTTTCATGCATGACTACATGTGCAAAGATTTTGTGTTCAAAGGCTGCTTCCAATGGGTCGGCAACTTTAAAGGCCAGCCTGGATGCAACCTTGGATTTTGCAAAGTCGGAAGGGCTGGATCTGCCAACCGACATGGTTGCGGAAATGTCATCAGTCCAGTTGAAGTTAGCAAAGTCTTCCTCAGCTTCAAAGAAGCCAGCCAAGGCATAGACTTGGTTCTTTAGTTCCATTGCTTGCTGTGACACCGCTAGGGACACATTGTGGTTGCAGGTGTGTTCTGTGTCCGGGGTTTCATCTTAGACAGCTTAATTGAGTGATTCTGATTCAGAGACCTTGGAACGCTTGCTTGCAAGTCGCTTTGGGCTTGTCGGCTAGGAGCGAGCAGGCGTGCCGGAAAACAAGAGCTGGCTAATTGTTTCTCAGACAAATTGACACTGGACTGTTTGACTGATTTGGCAGGGAAAGGAATATTATTATATTATACGTCCGTATTATATTATAGACTATACAGTACATTTTATTCTAGTTATATACTACTGATATGGTGAGATAGTAGATTTAGTTGTTGTTGCCATTGCTGTTGCGCATTCAGCAGTGTTCAGGACTTGAACGTGTCATTTGACTGCTATGCAAATGCGCTGGTTGTGGGCTCGCCGCAGCCGCAGCGCTGTCAAAATCACGTGAGCAGCCGCCTGCTGATCACCATGGGACGGAAACGTGAGCCCTCTGATCCAAACTCGGACTCGCTCCCAAAGGACAAGAAAATGAAGGGCCAGGGTCAGCATCAGTCGATCACAGATCTTTTGATGAGGGGTTCAACAGCATCTGCACGACCGGATTCAGCCTTCCCAGAGTTTTGCCAATGGAAGAAACGAGTGATTTCAGAGTCAAGGTCCCTGTACAGTCAACGAAGCGACTCGTGGATGGAGGCATTGTACAACCGTGCCAAGGAATGCGCAGATCACCCTCTTGCTGGGCAGTTTATGCAGCAGCATGGGAAGCCAGGAAAGACACCATGGATGTGGAATCCAAAGGACCAATGCGACAAGTTTGAGACCTACTTGGCATCTCTTGGGGACTCTTTGGAAGGCAATGGTGGGAGGTTGCAAATCAAGCAGGAGCCACTGAATGATGGTGCTACTACCATGTCTGTGAAGAAGGATCCTACCGATCAAGTCAAAATGGAGATTGAGCAGCAGCAGGATGCTGCTGATGAGGCTGCTACACTGCTGACTACTCCTTCAAACCTTCCAGACACTCAGGCTGATCCTGTTGCTGCGCCTACTGCTTCTGCAGGAGGCATACCTTCGGATTCCGTGAAGAAGAACTCAGATGGCATGGCTTCATCTTCTCAGGCTGAGGTTGAGGGAAGCCAAATGCAGCAAGTGCCTTCAACGTCTGCTTCTCCAGCTCCAGAGCGGTCAATTGACATGTCTTCAGGTTCTCAGGCTGATGTTGAGAAGGGCCAAATGCAGCAAGTGCCTTCAACTGTTGCTGCATCACCGTCTGCTTCTCCAGCTCCAGAGAAGCCAACTGACATGCCTTCGGGTTCCCAGGCTGATGTTGAGAAGGGCCAAATGCCTTCACCTTCTCAGGCTGAGGTTGAGAATGGCCAAATGATGCGCGTACCCTCACCTGTTGCATCACCGTTTGCTTCTCTACCTCCAGAGATGCCTACATGTTCCCAGGATGATGCTGCTGGTGAGAAAGGGCAAGTGCACGAAGAAGCTTCTCTTGCTCCTGCATCGCCACCTGCTCTTCCGCCAGGTGAGAACAACGAGGGGGGTGAGAGTGAGAATGAGCAGAGGAGTGAGAGTCCACCCGAACCACCACAGCCTCTGCTCCCGGGCCAAGTCTATGATGGAGAGTCTGGCCACCCGGTTTCATCTGCCACTCGGGTGGGTCAGGACAAGGTGCAGGAATGCAAGAGCCACCCATTGTTCCAAAAGTATATTGCACAATTGCTCTCTGACCAGGATGTGTGTCTATCTTATGCCGAGCTTGGGATTGAGTGGGGTGATACCCAGGGCGATCCAGATGCTGATGTGGAGGACTTTGAGTGTTGGTTGCAGAACGAGCGTCCCGAAGTTCGTATGAATGCCTTGGTTCAGAAAGCTGATCTTGCAATAGCTTCTGACATGGCTCTCGCGTCAGCAGACAGGAACGGCTTCTCTATGCCACCAGACTTGAGGGATGCTTATGAGAAGGAAGTCGATGTGCCAGAGGAAACCAATGGCCCTACGAAACGGAAGGCAATTCCGTTCCCAAAGAACACCATTTCTTGCACTCCATTGACAAACAGCTTGGCCGACATCGCAGAGGGTGCCTAGTCGGAATCGGAGTCAGTAGGTTTCATTGCTGTTGAGTCAAGCCACTGGTTACCTGTACTTTAAAGTATCTTTCGACCGTGAATGATATGATAATATTACAGTAATTAAATATATTGTAATATTGATGTTTGATTAATACAACAATTATGATATGATATGATGTGATGATTTTATGATGATATTGACATCATGATATTCTGGTTATGTTTGTGAAGAACCTGAATGTCTCAGGCGAAGAACCTGAGCCTGAAGAACTTGAATGGGACCGCTCCAGCGTGGTTTCAGAGTCAATGCGTTACCCGCTCCTGGATGAGACAGGTAGGTGTCCAGTTGAAGAAGCTGATGCTTTCTTTGATGCAGCATATGGGCACTATCCAGGTGAACCTGAGGAAATGTACAGGAACCTCGCAAGAGTTTCTTGTTTTCACTTACTTTGTTTTTCTGTTTGCAGCGTGCACACACACATGCGTTTGTTTAATGACAATATCTCGATAGTACAATCTAGAAAAAGCCGTGTTATTGATTATCATTGATCATTGATCATTAATTATCATTGATCATTGATAATCAATAAGATATATTATATTCTATGATGATACAAATATAAAACATCTATATGAATATATATATGTGTTTTTGTTCCACATCCGGCGTCTAGGTTATGGTTGCTCAGATCCTCCGGTACCATTGCAAGACTGAGAACTCGCCTGTGCGCCGCAATCTTCAAACACACCATCGCTACATGAATATCGGGTCTGCCTGCACAGGCACGGGCGCGTTACTTGGTGGCACCCTCACTAAGACTACTTTACTTGGACCGCCACTACTACTACTACTACTACTACTATTACTACTACTACTACTATTACTACTACTACCACCACCACCACTACGACTACTACCACCACCACTACTACCCACCACTGGCCACTACCACCTACTACTACTACTACTACTACTACTACCTCCTACTAACTACTTACCTACTATACTGCTGCTACCAACTGTTCACCAAGGTTTGAGGAATGCACAATTGCTTTCCACAAGGTCTTGACCAAGATGTTTACAGCCAAAGAGGACCAGTCTGCCTTTGGGCTTCACTATGGTTCATGGTTTACACAATAAAACCAGAAAGCAACAACAATTCTTATCTGGACTAAGAAAGGGTTTGATGTCAATGTTGATTCATCATGAAATGTAGAGTCACTGCTAAGTTCGCCAAATTGCTTAACATATCTTCCGTAGTAGCTAGCTATAGGTTCAGTCAACAATCAAACATTAAGGACGTGGAAGTTTCGTTCTGCTGCGAAAAAGTGGACTGGAAGCGAAGCTACGCGCTGCGGAGCCTGAAGCAGACCTCACCTGATTCAGATCCCTGCATGTATGAGGTCACTTGGCTGTAGTCGGGACGTGACATGACTCACTCATGAGAGTGCTCTGAACACACAAAATCCTGTGCATGTTTTATGCATACAATTTTGTTTGTATTTGTAGCATTCAGTAAACTTAACTATAAAACGGCACCTATAGGTAAGACTCTGAATAAGACTGACTAGACTATATATAAATATAGCCTAGCGGCGTTAAGACTAAGACTCTATACTATGACTATGACTATGACTATAACTTAACTGTAACTATTATAGTCCCGAGTCATGCACACTCACACATAGGCATAGACAGGTAGACTGGTAGACTGCAGACTGCCTTTGCATCAAACATCTCGTGTCTGAGGACATTACCGTGCTTGACGATGACTCAAAGCGGAAATGTCTCAAACATGGGATAGGCTGTCCCCTGAACAGGCTTGCTGGCTTTGGGGCTGGGTTCAGCTGTACATCATACAGCAATTTGAACAAAGATGCGCCCCGGAACGCGTCGGCCATGGAGAGGGCGCAGCAAGATGAAGAAGCGCTTTGGGCTGAATTCCAACAAACGCTGTGCCTTTCATTTGGGGTATTGACACACTTTGGTTTGGGGTGGTCAAAGTTTGGTTTGAGTCCCGGACTGAGGGTTCAACGGGAAGAGTGCAAAGCGTGACTACATTTGAAGGATGCATCACCATTCTCAGCCAGAGCGAGCCGACTTGGGCAATATTTGAGAATGTGGAAACCATTGACCGGCCAGCTGATGATGGTGCGACGTATCGTTGCATGATGATTCATGTGAAATGTAGCTTCTTTCTTTAACCCCTATTTACTAATTTATTCATAGTCAGAGTCATAGTCATAGTTTCATACTGTATATATAAATACTAGACTAGACTATATGACTATATTGTACTTCATTTGATATTGTAATTGAAATGGTGTTTATAAATGCTGGATGATCAAATCGTGATTCACGATGATGATGATTCGTGATTCTGATTCTGATTAGGCAAACTAACTTGGAGGTGTGCTTGAAGAAAATCCATGAGCTTGGTTATGCAGCGCAACCATACCTCCTTGACAGCTCGTGGTTCGGACTTGGGCAATCACGCAGGCGGGTGTACATTGTATGCCTGTCTTTGCGTGACTCGGAAGTGAGTGTGTCGGCAGAGTTCTTTCAATCGGTCAAGGCAATTCTTGGGAGCCTCTATCTCCCAACTCCTGCCGCGGATTCCTCTCACCGATAGTGTCAGTTTTGTTGTTTTGTGTTTGGGTTTTCAGTGCCACAGCCTGAGCGCGAGTTGTTTTGTTGCCGCATCAGGATGACTTTTTGTTGCCGGATGATGACGAGGCTGTGTTGGCGTACTTGCAGCATCTTCAAGAAGAACGAGCAAACCAGGCTGCGAAGCAACAAGAGCAAGAAGAACAGGGCGTGGACAAACATCCTGCTTGGGTCAATTTGCACATGTCACTGGCAGAGAAACGACCCTTGTATGAGTTCAGAGAAACGACCCCTTGTATGTCTGTGCACTGTGCACTGATATGACCTTTGATTTTATCCTTTGGATGAGCTGTTGATATGATATAATTGATATGATATGTATGTATATGCTTCATGCAACTGCGTTTGGGTTGATTCAAACAGTGTTTAAGGAGGGATATCTTGGCCTTTGAAAATTGACCGCAGCGTGACGGAGAGTCCATGGTTTCAATCTCTGACAGACAGGGCGAAGGAGGCGAGGAGACTATTCAATTTCCGATTCCGATTCAATCGCTTCGCTTCAATCACTCCTTTATTTGACCATGGACCATGACTCATCATCGTATTATAATCACCATGTTATCGTATCATAATCATATCAACTATCTAATGATAATATCAGCACGAAGCACACAAATGATGAACCAGGACGATTGTGTCATTTCAGTTCATATCATATATAAAATATCATATCATATCATATCATAACAATGCCACAATGTCATTGAATCATAACGACTACTACATGTCGTTATCATGTACCGCCGCCCATCATAGATTTTGAGTTTGAATTTAGAGCAGCCCTCGCCAAAATTTGAAAACATGTTCAGTTCAAGACCTACCATCAAACAAATAAACAAGATGTTTCAAATCAATCCATTTATTAAATCCTCGTCCTGGTTCTTGCGTGTTCATCAGATTGTGTGTTAATGAGTACTTTTCAATGACAGGTGGTCGGGTTTGCATATGATGAGCGAACCCGTATGCGCAAAGAGCTGAACTATGCGGATGTGTACCACAGCGCAAACAGATATGGCAGCGGGAAAGAACAAGTTCCGATAGTCCTTCCAAGAAGCCAACTCTACTCCTTCCTACGTGGCCGCCTCGTGCTTGGGAGGGAGAGCCTGCGTTTGCAAGGGCATGGATGGGACCCCCGGCATTTGATGCTCTATAGTGAGAGCAATCTTCAAGATCTGGCTGGGAATTCGTTTCTTGTAGTTACACTTGCACCGCAACCTTTTCACCTCACTAACTCTACCTTTGTACTTCTGCAGGCGGCCGCAGGCAGTTCCAAACCCAAGTCCAGGTCCAGGTGGTTTCTACTGTTTTTTGTCATGTAGTCCCGTAGCCGTAGCAGCAGCGTTTGTGGTAAGGTTTTCAGCCAACGTGATCATGGCAGTCATTGCAGCCGTCCTGTGCTCCCTTCGCTTTGTTTCAGAGAGCGAGGCGGAGGAAAACGATGATATCAGTGAGATGGTTCGGCAAATGCAGGAACCCTTTCAAAACATGGAATCCTAGGGAGGCTCGCGAATAAATTTGATTTTGGCAATGGGAAGGGTCTGTGCAAGACGGATCATTCGCCGTTGCAAATCGGGCTGGAATAGCCAAGTACACGTACACTAGCAGTACAGGCCAGGTTTGGGAATCCTTGGCGACAATCTTCACTTTGTGTTGTGTACAGCGGCCACTTTACGCACTTTAGACTAGCTTTCAGAGAAAAAAAGGCGGGAAGACCAGATTGACTCACTTAAACGAGACCAGACTGAGTCACTTGATTGACTCTATTGATTCGAACTTTAGTCAAACCATTGGAGCACTGGTCTGGAATGCTTTCTTTCACCAATGCCGATGCACACACGCTCACCCGCACGCTCACCCGCACGCTCACCCGCACGCTCACCCGCACGCTCACCCGCACGCTCATCCGCTCACCCGCGCGCACGCCCGCACACTCACTCGCACACCCATCCGTTCGCTGTGACACGAGCATCCTTTCCATCATATGATAGACATCGTTTTACGTATTCTTCGATTTTGATAAGTTATATCTCCTTTCGACAAACCATTGAAAACAACCTCAAGATGTCGGGCAGAAACACCCAAATTACAATTGTGCCAGAACCTTACCGACACATCAACTATCGGAACTTAGTTATGTCACCAGTCAAGAAACCCCCAATTGCTCAACCTATAGTCACGCAAAAGCTGCCACACTATCTCACCAAAGAAGCTATTGACAACAGTAACAAGCAAAGACGAGAGAAGCGTTTTGACATCCTAGGCAAAGAGCCTCTGATCAAGTTTCTTACTGATTTAAACCTCCTTGACTATGCAGAGCAAGCAGCGGTGCCGCAGTGGATTTTCTTCAATGAAGAGATTGTACAAGCCTTACGCACTCTCTCTGCCGACAGTGATGCCCTGAAGGTTTATCAGCAAGAACTACTGCATCATTGTACCTATCACAGAATTGTTCTCTTTCTTCGTCAACTTCTTAGTACAATCAAAATCGCTGACACAGGTTTCATTGTTTGCTGGCTTGCCCATCAGCCGATCCATGTGAGATATCTTGGCCCCAGCAGAGCTGCAAACCTGTATTTATTGCGACTCCAAGACACGCTTGAGATTCTGCTCTTCAAGCATGGTGGAGACCCTGTGCGTATTCAACAGCCTTTGCAATCGTCCCCCTGGTATCGCTCCATGTTTGGTTCCAAACAAAACCCCAGGGAGTTGGAACAGAATGCATATGCGCCTTTGCAATCCAACAAGAACGCATATGTACAATCACCGAAAAACCATGGACGCATAGTTTCGTTGAGCCAGGATGTGCTTTGTGGCGACTCTCCCACCTTTTGCTAGCAGCAGAGAATAATGTATGCAAGGAACCCTTTGCAAATGTTTGTCACCTTGCGTTAGGGAACTTTCCTGTCGTTTTTATTGGGGGGTTACTTCAGGATTGGTGCCTTAGCATCTGTCCTGAAAGCGCACGGGCAGCCCACCCACAACTCCAAGAAGCTATCTGGCAAGCAGATAAATTGCCCAACTACTGCCTGCTGCTCATCCATCAATTGGAAACCCCTGAAGCCAGCAATATTGAAAGACTGATCTCCCTGACGCCCACACCACACAACCAGCATCCAGTTCTCCCAGAAATCAGTGTAGCAAAACATGCCGCTGCTTGCATCCCAACTGAGGCTTGTAATGATGATTGTCAGCTTATGACGCTTTAAAATCAGTTTGGTACGCCTGCACGCAAGGAGAGATTTCAGCAAAGATTTATCACAGTGCTAAGGCACTGCTACACGCTGAATGACGCGATTATGTCATTTACCCATTAAATCTCTCCGATTAGTGCAGCGTACCCTCTCAACAGGCCTCAAAGCAGCATATTGGCACATCAACCAACAAACAAATGCATCTATTACGCATGTTTCCTCCCTCCACTTCCTTATACATTTTATCCACCCTCGTCTGCCATACCGGCAGATCATGATTCAGGACCTCCTTAATGTGTGTGGCTTTGACGACAATGTTAACTTGTCTGATGCTCTCATCCTTTACGAGTCAATATTGGCAAGTTCACTGACTGTATAGTCACAGACCCATCCGCGACTGTCGACGACACTTCGTTCATCCTTCCAAATGAAGTACAATCCCTACGCCGCATCCCCACGAGGTTCTGGCAACTCTGCCACAAAATTCTACAATTCCGGGAGCAGAGACCGAGTAATTTGCCAGTCTCTGTAAAAGGAATTCACTCTTGGAATCTCAACAGCTGGTCTCCTGGGCTTCCCACCAATGTGCACAAGACTTGGATAGTCAAAGCTATGTTGAAAAAGGCCCCTGTATTATTACAGGAAACAAAATGGGATCAAGCCAACCTCCAATACTTATCCCACACGTGGCCTGACATCAAAGTAGTTGCTACTTTAGCCAAACACAATCCGGGTGAGCAAGCTGGAGTTGCGATCCTGTTTCCTCCAGGATGGAAGGTCCTAGAAGAACGTATCTGGGTTCAGCATTACGCAGTTGCTGCCCGCGTTGAATACCAAGCTTGCACTATATGGCTTGTCTCGATCTATATACCTCCGAGCAGCCCCAAGGCATTCGTATTCAACACTCTACAAACCATTATTGCATTGACTGATTATCCAGTCTTTGTAGGAGGAGACTTTAATCGGTGCGATCAAAATCATTTTCACACGTGGGATGACTTCCTAGTGCAGGCTGGGCTCACTGATGTTGACCCTGCACTTCCTACTTACAAGTACCAAGACCAGGAATCCTCGCTTGATAGATTTTTAGTACCTAGTCTCTTCCTTGATGCAACGCAACTATTTGCTTGCATTTATGGCAGGTACCGGATTGATACTTGCCATCGCAAAGCTTTGTTGCTCAGGCTAAAGATGAAACCGCGACTTCGACCACATCCACAGTCTGAAAAGCATCACACAATACCGACTCAAGTTTTTCTTGATCCAACAATCGCATCGGAAAGTCTGCAAGCAGTTGCAAGACAAGCTTCCCTACTTGCTCTCAAACGAAAAATCTCGCTAGCGCAGGAGACTAAGCCTGCTAGTGTCGTGTTATCACACCACAGTCGTGCCATAGTTTGGAGTTGGTGGAGGACTCACTCTTGTCACTTCAAAAAATTGGCTCCGTTAAAGCGACTATACAAACTTCTTGGTAAAGAACAAACGCACCTGCACATACGACAGGAAGAACTACGCCTATTGTATGAGCAGAGTGCGGATACTGACCTACTACAGTCCTGGCAAACTCAGCAGGGATGCCTTCTGATTCCAGCTACTGTCATAGCTTCCGCTTTACAAGCAGCTGAAGTCGCAACGGCAACAAACACACAGATGCCCTTTGGCACTGACAATACAGACCCAGTTCAGCGAATTCGAAGGCAAAAAATCTTTTGGGATAGACTCAAAACTGTGTGCCCCAAGGGCACCTTCTATCATGGTCCACTGTTGCAACATAATGGCCAAGAATGTCGTACTGCCCTTGAGTATGATGAAGCCATGCTTGCTACTCGAGACTTTTGGTTTACGCACCCTGTTAAGTATGATCGAGATTGGCAAGACACGCTTTCGGCTTACCGACGGTGTGTCGTGCCGTGGCCTGTCATTCCGGAGCCCGCGGAGCAAGACTATGTTGAACATCTCCTCCTTACTAAGGATTCTGCCCCGGGCCCGGATGGGCTACCTTATGCTCTTTGGCGGATGTTCCCGCAGCAGACTGCTGCGATCCTTCAGGATGACTTTCATCACATTTTAGCTGGTACGCTAACACCACCCACCCAGGTAGGAGTATGGATCCCAAAAGCCAAACAGGGGCCCACGGCTGATTTTTTTCGGCCTTTAGGCATGCCTGACACGCTTGACAGGCTGCAAGATGGCACAGTTGCTGCTATCCTGTTTCGAGTCACCAGGCATAGTTTCCACCCTGCCCAAACTTTGCTTAACTCCTTTCGAGAGCCGCAAAGGGCAGTGCTAGAAGTGCAAGGAGCTCTGGAGGGCTCGTCCCCGGCTTCTGCCCTCTTTGCTGATCTATCCAAAGCATTTGAGCGCATTAATGCACATTGGATCCTTCACATCTTACGCATTCGACAGTGCTCCCCTTGGGTCCTCCAATTTGCACGCTATCTGTTGTTTGGTAGAAGAATCAGACACAAAGTACAAGGGCGGCTTCTACCTGCGAGAAATGTGCATTCTGGAGTTGATATGGGGCGATCCACATCAGTATATTTCTTCTGCCTTGCCATGGATCCTATTTTTGTCGTTCTCAATCAAATTCCGCAAGTTTTAGTTGTTGCAGGATATGTTGATGACACTACAATAGTTGGTCGGCAAACAGACCCGAACTGGGTCCGAGAGGTTTTTCAGAACATAAGAAAATGGAAGTCTGCTGGTATTGTCATGGACACACATCATTGTTGGCAAGTCGGATTTTCCAGCAGAGCCCTTGACGAAAACATACTGCACAGAGTTGAAGATGTCTGGGGTCACGTAACTCCTACTCATGAATCAGGACAAGCCACTTGCAGTGCTGCGCTGCAACATGTCCCCGGATATGCACGTCGCTTTGTCCTTAGACACGGTGACCACTGCATACATATGACCTCAGCGGCCATACCCAGACTGGTAACTGAAGGGCACCCCATGCTTTGCCAATTGGCTGCTAGTCCATGCCGGTGCCGATCCAAAACACAACTGCTCACAAATGTCAGTTACGCTGCTGAGCAACTGTTTTGCCTGGACCAAGCAGGCCTAGGTGGTCAGTGCATAGTGCCGTCAACAGTTAACCTTGGCCTAACAATCCATACAGGATGGACATGTCAACTCACCAATGAGACCATGGTCAAATTACCGTTGCAATTATCTCTTACCACTCTGTTGTCAAAGCAGCTGGTGAAATTCCGAACGAGGCTTGCTGCTGCCAATCGGGCCAACCTTAGCATCCATATGAAGATTATTTACTTTAACACCTTCTCGCTGAGCCTCTTTTACTACTCGCAGACACAGCGTTTCTTTTCACCCAAGCTCCTCAAACCGCTGTACCACGCAATGGCAGAATTTTTGCTACAGCGTCATTGGTTCCCGCAACACCTATTGGTTGGACTCTGCAGGTGGTTACGCATAGGCCCACTGCTTGACCCAACCATCATGCAGGCAGTCTCCC